AAAAAAAAAAAAAAAAGAAAAAGAAAAAAAAAAGAAAGAAAAAGGAACCGGACTGATGCTCCCCAGAATGGAAAGGAGCCAGGACCATAAGGTCCTGTTTTTGTTAAAATAATAATAATAATAATAATAATAATAAATCCATACCGTGTCCTTTCGGGACATCCGTTAAAAGTGGAACAAGACACCGAAGATTAGCATGGCCCTGTGCGAGGATGACACACATAAATCGAGAAATGGCATCTCCTCCCCCCTCTTAAAAAAAAATAAAAAATAAAAAATAAAAAATCCATACCGCAGGGCAGTGCAGGCCGCATCTAAGTTTTTGCCTCTTGGGCTAATCGATGTGTTTTGCTTGTTGCTTGAGAATGTTGACATCTTTTAAATTTTAGTCGATGTGTTTTGCTTGTTGCTTGAAAATCTGAAAGTGTTTTTTTTTTTTTCCCCCCCTTTTGCATCTCTTAATCGCTCTTGCACCAACACTGTCGTGCAAACCGACCCCCTATTGGTTCAGGAGAGGTACGGGTCGGTGGGTGCACCCTGTACGTGTACAATGTACATACAATAGAGGGATGATGAAATGGAAAACGAACGTGTCCATGTGATCTTCCCAACCCGACTTATTTCCCTCAAGCCTGCTCAGATGCCTTTTCAACCCTTTGGAAAGCCCTCCTTACTCCATTACAGTAAACATTTGGGGCACTGTCTGGGTGACTACCTAGTGACTTAGATTGAAACAGTGCGTCAATGAGGGGTCTGCCTAGGTCTGTTTTCAAGTCCCTGGCCTTGTGACCCTTGTCCCAGAAGGGTTCTGCATGCATGTGTCCTAAGAAGCAAGGGTTACGTTTTTTTTTTTTTTTTTTTTTTTTTTTTCAAAGAACACACACACTGCCCCTTCTATTCTGCGGGGCGCCAGTCCGGATACTTATCCCCGGCAAGCATATGTGAACAAAATACAGCATACAAGAAAGTGGCACGCAACACGGGCGACCAGCGTCGGTCATGGATAACCGGAAGACTCCCCATGGTACCCAGATATTATCCACCATCCTGGCCCCAGTCAACCCTCCACCCATCACTCCCCACGTACCCCTTGATAGACCCTCCTCGCAAACTTCATATTGAACGTCTCTCTCTCTCTCTCTCTCTCTCTCTCTCTCTCTCTCTCTCTCTCTCTCTCTCTCTCTCTCTCTCTCTCTCTCTCTCTCTCTCTCTC